TTATCTCACTCCCCAAAGATTGGGGTTGGTTGTCTGTAGATTGAGACTTCTGAAATTGAGCCCCCAAAATAAACTTTTCCTCCTCTAATTGCTTGTTAGGCCTTTTAGTCACAATGAAAAAGCCAAATAAAATAAAACTTTACATATTTTTGCCTAATTTGTTCCATATAGTAGCCACATGTAACATGCAATCTTTTTGCCCATTGCATAAATAAGTAAATAACGCCAAAGTAGGTATAATTCTAAACAGAAGCTCTGTGGTTAAGGATATTTGGACAGCACCAGGTTACACAAAGATTCTTCACTTTAGGATTTCTTAGAGTCTTTAGTACACTCATGTGCATTATGAATTGCAAAGTTTCTAATGCTATTTGACTGCCGAATCATCTCAATAAACATCTCTCAGAGATGACATTCTTTAGATTGTGCTTTGGAAACACATCCCCACATGATTATCTGAACAATGTTCTTCTTCTTTGAACAGTGATTAAAGAAACTATTTGAGGGACTCATGTTTGTGTTATGATGATGGTATTTTTCTCTTGCAGGGTTTCAAATGTTTTAAAAGGAAATCAGCTCCGATGGTACCAAGACACAGTGGAAGTGCTGGATTCCTGGGATGCCACAAAGGCTGTGGCTTCTTAGGGCTTCCATGTCCTCAGCCACATGAATTAATAAAAAAAAAATGCCACCCATCTGGCTAAGACTAGAAATTCATGGAATGGAAAAAATTCTTAAGCACAAAACTTAGATATTGACCCTGATGTAAAAGCATGAATTACCATTGGTTATAAACAAATGTGTAAATGGTCACAAATTTTTATACACACATGAAGCTAGCAGAGAAAAAAATTTAAAAAAAAAACCTAAACAGAAAATAATTTAGCTATTTGTTCATTCTACTCAACATTTTGATAGGCATGGGGGTAAAATAGTGAGCCAGAGAGATGAGGTCCCTGTGAGGACACACAGCTGCCTATACCTATGTTGTCATTTATTTTCTCTGTGATTCTAGACAAAACACCTAAAAATCTAGGTATCTATTGATCATATTTCATATTTTAAACAATCTACCTGAGGTCTTCCCCTTCTGAGTATTTCAGTCCTGAAGTCATTAGTTAAGGAAGAGTAAGGCAGGTGTCTATGGTGGGGCCGAAAAGGTCAGGGCCCATAGTGGGAGTCAGAGACCAGGTAGGATAAGGAAGGCACACACAACGGGAAGACAGTAAGAGATGCCAGACCCTAAACAGAATGACGAGGGCATCTCTGTGATGCAGAGGGATGGAGTGTCAAAGTCCAAGGAAGGGCAGGAGATCTTCAGAGCCTGAGCAAGGAGAGGAAGGAATCCTTCAGAGACCAACAGTAAATGCACAGGTGAACTGCTTAGTGAGGAGGGTGTCCAACAGAGTGGCAGCCTTGAAGAGGAAATCAGAGCCCAAGCAGGGAGATCAGGGTGTCCACACATAGGTGGAGGTGGAAGTGGGGTGGGAGTGAAAAGCAGAGAGGGGTTACGTACAGGATGATACATCAAACGGGTAAGTGTGTAACAATAATGGGAGCCAAGTTTCTCACTCTAAAAAGGAATTACAAATATAGACAGGGGAAAAAAAATTGAATGCCATGAGAATTTCAATACAGAACAAGAAAAACTTGGAGAAAGGAAAGCTATGTGCTGTTCTGAAGGAAGCAATACCCTCCAGGCCAAAAGACTGTTAGATACATGCATGAATGAATTCAGGAACTTCTTATCCAAAAGAGGAAAACAAAGTCAAATATTTTAAAGAAAGGAATGTTGTATTACTCCTTATTTCAAATGCTGGAAATAAATAATTTTCACTGTGGATTGGGGTGGGAGTGGTTAGGGATAGTACCAGGGATTGAACTCAGGGGCACTCAAACACCAACCCACAATTCCAGCCTTATTTTGTATTTTATTTAAAGGCAGGGTCTCACCGAGTTACTTAGTGCCTCACCATTACTGAGGCTGGCTTTGAACTCTCAATCCTCCTGCCTCAGCTTCCTGAAACACTGGGATTACAGGCATGCGCCACCACACCTGGCTTCCACTATGTATTGTTTTAGAAAGCTTATGGTTTTGGATTGGAATTGGATATATTATATGAACTCAAGATTATGTATATTATGTGTTTATATATAACATATATTTATTTATGATACATATATTTCCATATAAAGCAGTGACACCTGATGAAAAATGAGCACACTTACAGTCCCGGCTTGATTTATATATACATTTTTTTACTAAAAGGACCATGGATCCTTGGGAAAATGGCTAATTCCAGGACTATGCCAGAGAAAATACAAGGTAAGCCTGGAATAGCTTATGCTGAAAGCAAGATATGAATGAATCATAACACATGGACACAGAATCCAGCTTGAAGTAATTCCACATGACAAAATGAGGGATAATTTGAGCATCAAAATAATAAAATTTTTAACAAATAACATTTTAAAACAATAAATTAATTTAGCACATAATAAATAAGTGTAAAAAATAATACCCATAACAGGAGATGAGTATTCAAGATTCAAGATGTACAAGGGAAAGTTTTAAAAAGGAGATATATATATATATATCTTAGCTGATTCAGAGGCTGCACAAAGAACTGGAGTTTGCCAGCTGCTGGAGCTCAGGAGGTTGTAGCAATATTGCCACACTGTCCTGGCAAGCATTTGCTGTGTGGCCTAGGATGTACCTAGGAGAATTAAATTGAAACAGATAATTTTACCCAAGGGGATCCAAGTCAGAGAGCAACCACTTTCCTTTTGATTCTGGTGGCTCTTGTGACCACTGGAAGAGGGTCAGGAAACTGAACAGACAGAAATGAATACACTCAGGGGACTAAGCCCAGGAAGGCCACATTCCTGGGGAGTGGATTATGCAAGTGGAATTCTTGGGAGTTTCCTAAAATCCAGACACCCAGCAGAGAATGGCATCTGCCTGGCCCTAAGGGTGTGTTGATCTAATCTCTCCA